TCGACTCTGATAAATCTTGTTATTCTTCTTTGCATCATCTGGCAGCTGCTGGATTGATTTTTTTATGATCCTTTGTTATCTTTAAGAATCTTCCCTTTCATGATCACTAACCACAATCCTGTCTTCAGTATTTGAGATTCTGTCATCAGATTGGCTCATTCTGCTGAGTGTATTTTCAATGAAATTTTTAATCACTTGGATATATGTTTGAATATATTTCATGGATATATATTCCATTTCTTTGGAATATATATTTCATCATATATATGGATATGTATTCCATATATTCCAACAGAAATGGAATATATTCCATTTCTTTTTTATGTTTGGTGTCCATGATTTCCATCATTTTCCTAAGGATTTCAATTTTTTTTTGTCAGTATCTGCTCTAGAGTCCCTAAGTATGTCTTTCATTATGGTCACTGTCTCTGTAGCTATCTGGGAAATTATTTCTGATTTGATTTTTTTCTAGAGCCTCATTCATCTGCTTTGTTACTTCCAATATTATAGCTTTACAACTTTCAGGTGTGTGTTTTTTGGATTGTTCCACTTCATTGCCCCCTGTGTGAGCTGAAGTCTGGATTTACATTTTGTTTGAATGTCTTCTCATTTTCTATTTTTTAAAGTGTAATTCCTGGTTTGATGCTTGTAAATTGCCTAAGGCAACTAGATTTATTGCTAGTATTTAGACTCCTTGGGAATGACTACTTCTCAGAAGTGTCTTCCACATATAGCTGGCTTTTGGGTTTTGAGTCTGTTGCAAAATTCTACCTCTTCAATTTATTGGAAATGAGAAGTTGCTCCCTACTTGGCCTAGTCCCTGTTTGTTTCTCACTGACCTATAGTATTTTTTATGACCCTTTGGCAATCTTATTCTTGGTGTACCAAGAAAAACAACTGGTTAGAACAATTATGTCATCTTGATTAAAGTGGTACAATCAGCAATAAAAATAGTGTCAAACACAGCCTAGAAAATGACAAGTAACTATTAATTTGAAGTAATTTTGAAGTATCTATTAATTTGCCACCTTTAACTGCATGAACTAGATTTTTGGTTTTATTTTTTTATAATATATAGCAAACCAGAAAATTGTATGTAGTAAATAAGTCTTCAGTGTGGCAGTTTTACCCTCAGGGGAGAAAATTTAAAAGAGGTTTATTGGATATCAGGTTAATTAACCCTAAGTTATTGCAGGCTGATCAGGCCTACAATCTTCCAAGCAGTAGACAGTGAAGGCTTAAATAAATGAGACAATGGAAATGATTTCAGGGCTCTTAGGAGGGACTAACTTTCTTACAGCTTCAATATTCTCTGAGTTTAGCCAAAGACTTCCCTGGGAAGCCCACATTTATTTGGTTTTTAAACAAGGGAGGAGGATACTCAAGAAAATGAAGGAATCTTGCAGGACCTTGGGAGAATTTTCCCAAGTAGTAAATTATGTCAATCAGGAGAACTACCTTATCTTTAGGTTGGTATTTATTGTAGGAGTGTAGAGCCTGCAGCTGCAGTCTTCTTGTAGTTAACTGGGGTTGGAGCCAAATGTCCTCAGCTGTAGCCTTATCTTGTCTTTTGAGGTGTCACAGCTTCACAAGCCAATATAGGCCTCAGCAGTGACCAGTGACTCACAGAGGTTTACTTACTATGAGTTTACTGTCTATCTTTAGACAAGGTACCTAAGCTTCAGAAAACTCATAAATAAACATGGAAAGCCTTATTAAATCCAGCTCAGAGCCACTTTGTAGTGGTCTCCAACAGAGGTTAGGGAGAAGACAGAGACATAAAAGAAAAGGAAGAGATTGAAAGCAAGGCTGGAGGACAAGGGAAGAGTGCACAAACTTTGGGAACCTGATGAAGAAGACTGGAGGGAAAGAGAGAAGAGAGACATAAACATTAGAACAGAAGAGCAACAACAGCAAAAACTAGAAACTATATTCTCACTTATATAAGAAGAAGATCAAGCAATCAAGAAACAAAACAAAACACATAAAAAAGAAAGAAAGAAAGTAAGTAAGATGTTCACTTCAAAGCATGTCTCTGGTGCCACTGGTAGCCAACATGGGCAGACAGAGTCTAGATCTGAATTGATTAAGCCAAGCAAGCCAGCTATAGATTTATGGTGGGGTAGTGTATAATCCCAAAGAACCTGCACCTGAAGAGAAGGTCCAGCCCTGAGGCTGGAACCATCAAGCCTGCAGCAGTTCCTGCTCCTCCTGCCAGATTGAACTCGCCTCCCTGATGGCTTGAAGTTGGCTTCCTATTCCCCTGCTGGCTTGAACTTGGGTCCCTGACCCAAAAACTGGGAGCTGCTTGATGGGACCAGCAGTTGCTCTGAGTTCCAAGCTCACATGGCCCCTCTCCAAGATGGCTCCTGGCCAATTCCCTCTCCTGGGGGACATCTAAGTGCAAACAACTCACCAGCCACTGCAAACCAGTCCTTCCACTTCTCTGTTCCACTGACATGTTTTTCCATGGAGGCCTCTGGGGTTGCCAGTAGTCATTGTGCATCTGCAAGTTTGAGCTGCCCCTCCCACTCAGTGAGTCTAGGCTGAGGATGAAAGTTCTGCCTGCCACCTTCTTCTCTTTCATTGAAGTCTCCCTCTTTGCTCTCCCGATGGGCTTCAATTCTTGCTTCAGATCCTTCCTGGTTCACAGAGACCCAGTTCCCTCCTTCTTCTCCTCATGTTTTATATTCTAGTGTCTGGACACCACATCTCAGGGAGGCTCTTTATCTGCTGCTCACCACTCTTCCATATTCCAGCAGTTTTCTCTTATTCTTGAGGCTTGACTTTATAAGATACATGATGTTTTTTCTCTAATAGCTTTTAGTATTCTCCATGTGCTTTCTGTGATTTTTTTTGTCTTTTTTTTGAGACAGGGTCTCACTAAGCAGTTCAGTCTGGCCTTCAGCTCACTTTGTAGCCCAGGCTGGCCTCAAACTTGCAATGATCTTCCTGCCTCAGCCTCCTGAGTGCTGGGATTACAGGTGTGTGCCACCATGCCCGGCCCTTTCTGTGATTTTTGACATGCTGTGTCATGGAGAATTTCTTTTTTTGTCATGTCTATTTGAGATTGTATATGCCTTGTTTACCTTGCAATTAAAATCTTTCCCTGAATTTGGGAATTTTTCTTTTATGATTTTAGTGAGTGAATTTTTATATCTTTGTGTCATTTTCTAATCTTTCCTTAGCTCTTTTAATTCTTAGGCTGAGGTTTTTTTGAGTCATCTAGCAGCTGTTGGATTCAGTTTTCATGGTGTCTTGTCATTTTTAAGGCATTACTGCATGCATGAGGTAATTTATCAACCTTGTCTTCTAGTTCTGACACTCTCTCTTCACACTGGTCAGCTCTGCTGTGCATATTTTCAATAGAATTTTCTTTTGATATTCTGATTTCTACTTGATTCATTTTCATGATCACTAGTTTTTTAGTACAGTGGTTCTTTATGTTTCTTATTCTTAGTCTGTCTACTTCAATCAGCTTTTTGTGTCTTCTTAACAATCACTGAACATTTTATTAATTTAATCTTTTCCTGTTTACTTACATCCTTCTGAGCTTGCTAATATCTTTTGGATTTGCGTGTTTCTTCTTTGATATTTTCAAGTTTTTTTTAAAAAAACATTTGGTGTTTTAGTTCTTTGCCTGTGAATTCCTGTACTTTAATGCTCACGATTGTGGGGAACTTGGGGGATCACTTTTGGAGGTATCTTTTTGCCTTGTTTTCTCATGTTTCTATTGTTTTTCTGCTGGAGAATCAGTTAGGATAGAAAAATACTGTGCTACTGTAGATATATCTTTAGTAAATGTACATTTCCGTGTGATGTGACCATGACTTTGTCATATTTTTGTATTTATACACCTCTACAGCCTACTTAACATAAATTTAAAATGTCTTACAAGGTGCATCATTGTACCACCATAAAAATATGCAAATACCTAAGCTATCCCTCCTTGTAAAACTTTCTGTTCATAGCAGTCTTTTTTATGCCCCCTCAATTGTAATTACTACTTTATATCTATTAAATAAGAACATCCATTATATCTCTTGGAATGATAAAACCAGTTAGAGTAATTCTAATAATGACAGAGCTTTAAAAGTGATGAAATGAATGATCTTAGGCAACAATCAGTTTCACCCTCTGGAAAAGTAAAATACACTTGTCCCAACATGTAAAGGTATTCAGGAAACAAATGTGGCATTATGCTGACTCGTCATTCTGTTGGATCAGAACATAAATCTCAGAGGTCACAGTTCTTGGTCCAAGTATAGCACCTGTCCCTAAGTCACTTTAACTATAAGCATATTACTATCTTGTTTTGATCTTTCATTTCTATATCAGGAAAGCATGGATATTGGTCTACATAATTACAAATTGCTATTAGTGTTCACAAATGGAAACCCAAAACAGCACTAGAAGAGTTAACAACTTGTCTCTCTAAAGAGCAAATACAAGAGACACTGCTTCAGCCTCCAATTCTGTTCTAAGATATTTCATCTATGATTCTGAGAGGAATAAATTGAAGGACCAGAAAAGAGAAATAATAGATTAAAGGAGAAAGACTGAGCGGGTTTTAATGAACGTTTCTGTCTATTGAGCCTCACTTTGAATTAACATGAACTGTGTTCCAATAAGACTCAAAGACACTGACAACTGTTAAAAGCTAAATTTCCTGAGTTAAAATCTTGGCTCTACCACTTACCAGTTGAGCAGCCTTATTGGGATACATAACCTCAGTGTGTACCTCATTTTCCAGAACTCCAAAATGGGGTAAGTAATGTAATTTCTCTCTTGAGGTCATAAAAAGGATGAAATTTCTTCATATATGTAAAGTACTTAGAAAAAAATTTGCTTACAGTCATTTACTATAGATACCATTATTATTATGGAACTACGTGGAGTAAATCTGTGTGACTCATGTGTAGTATGGAATATGGATAAGAATAAAATGGGTCTCTATTTTTGGAAAAACTCCTGGTTCCTGTGAATTTTTCTTGTGACAGATACACCTATGGGAAGCCTGTCCTAGGACATGTAAAATTAAATATATGCCCCAGAGCTCTTTTCAAGACTTATTTTGGATTTCAGTATCTTTATTTCTCTGGTGGAGACTCATGTGAGGAAATCAGTCAACAGGTGAGTGAAAACTGTTCAGAGGCTTATTAATATCCAAAAGAAACTCTAAAGTGCAAATGTAGAAAGAATGTCTGGAAGGAAATGCACACCAAGTCATCAAAAGATGGTAGTTCAAGGGCTGGGGTCACAGCTCAGTGGTAGAGCATTGGTCTAGCATACACAAGGTCCTGGGTTTTATTCCCAGCATTGCCAAAAAGAAAGAGGAGAAGACCCATGGTAGTTCCACACCCTACTATTATTGAAGGGAGGCTTCCAGGATATAGAACTAAATTTGTCCATTATATTAGTCAAAAGTATGAAATAATGGTGTTTGTCACAATTTATTTTATTTTTTAATTAGTGCCATGGATTGAATCTAGGGCCTCCAACATGAGAGGGAAGCACTCTATCAGTTTCTAGTCTATGGTGATTCTTTTAAATAATAGCAAAGAACTCTAAAGTTCTTATGACATAGTAGTCAATATTTTAGTATATGTATTAATATATTTAATCTACACAAATCGCTATATGGATGATTTGTCTTTTTTGAGACAGGTTCTCACTATGTATTCTAGGCTTGCCTTGAACTTACTATGTAGACCAGGCTGGCCTTGAACTTGCAGTGATTCTCCTGCCACAGTCTCCCAAGTGCTGAGATTATAGGCATGAGCCAACTTTCCCTATATAGATAAGAAAACAGAGGCATAGGGATACTACTCATGATGTGCTCAACACCATGTCACACAGTAGCTAAGTTTTAAAGCTGACCTCAATGATCAGAACCAGAATACTAGGTTGTATAGTTCTAAGCAGCTGGTCATCTCCAAAGAGGGCCTCACAGGTTAGTTTGGATTGACCATTTATGTGATCAATATGTCATGCTGATTGTGTATTTATCACTTATCAGCTGGACAGCCAAGGCTGCATCATACGACCAGTAAGAACCTCTAGGGACTTCATAGACTGGAACACGATTCATGCTATTAATCTTCAAGTGAATGCCATAATTACAGAAGAGGGGACAGGTATGTGGGCAAGATAAAATCATGGAAAAAACCCACTGTGAACACTGATAACTCTTTCTCATCAAGAGGGTAGGGTGAATTAGGTAGAAAAATAATTTTAAAGCCAGTGATTCTTCTTCATTCTTTTCGAATGTCTTTCTCAGGGTTGGAATTCACTGGAACTGGGACAACTGATGTTAGGAAAACCAGAACCAATCTCGTACCTGTGAAACAAGATTTACACTTCAGACCAGGGATTCCATTTGTTGTGCAGGTAAAGTACTTCATGATTCACAGGTATTTAAACTGTCCTGTAACATCAGAACAATGCAAACCTTTCTGCTCAGGATGGGACTTGGTCACAATTAATGATAAGGGTGTGGTGTAGCTCAGTGGCAGAGCAAATTCTTAGCATGTACTTTACCTCACATTATCGGTAAATAAATATTAAAAATTATCTGTTGCTTCTTAACACCAAATCATATAATCATATGTAGCAGATTTTTTTTATTTAAAAATGTTGCTCATTAAAAAATGACATCTCAAAACATTAATATGTTTTGGAGAGCCAGTGTTCCAGGAG